CTAAACATTCTAAAATTATATTTATTTTTCATTCTTTTTTCTTTTCTTTTTCAGTTTTTTTCCCTCCATTTTTATATCTTCTTTCTTTCCTTTTTCCAAATTCTTTCTTTTGTTCTCCTTCAAAATTTTCATTCAATTTTCCGATTACTTTCATTATTTGTTTTTGCATTTTTGATTATATTTTCTCTTGAGACATTTTTCATTTTTCTTTAATTTCTTTTCGGGTTCTCTTTCACCATACTTCTTTCTTCTTTTTTTCTTTCTCTCTTCTTTTATTTGTTTGTTTGTTTATTCTTTCTTTCTCAGTGAATTGATATCTCTTATCTCTATTACCTTTGAAATAATTGTCATGTAGTCCTTTCTTTCTTTTTTCTTTCTTTCTTTTTTTGTTTGTTTGTTTGTTTGATTGTTTCTTTCTTTCTCAGTGAATTGCTTTCTTTTTATCTTTCTATTACCTTTGAAATAATTATCATGTAATCCTTTCTTTCTTTCTTTCTTTCTTTCTTTCTTTCTTTCTCAGTGAATTGATTTCTCTTCTCTTTGCGATAATTGTCATGTCGTTCTTTCTTCCGTTCTTCCTTTCTTTCTTTTTCTTTCTTTCTTTCTTTCTTTCTTTCTTATTACAAGCGGAACTCAGTCGCCTTTTAAATTAATTTACCTTCAACAGAAAACTTGAAATAGATTCATCTTTGGAAAAACCACTCAAAAATCTTATTCTTGATTTTTCTCCTTTTTTAAAATTAATAATGAAAAATAGCTTTCAAGTCACTCGTCCGTCTGTATAATGTCCAACTGTTAAATGGGCGTGGCTCAAACTGCCAATCAAAAGTTTCTCTTTTCTATTTACGTTATTTCGCGAAAGCCGTAGAATCTTTCGAACCTTCAAAGTTAGACATCGGATTTATTGATATAAATTTGATCTTCGCTCATCGATGAGGAGACGAATAAAGATGCAACTGTAAATTCGTAATGTCGATTGTACAGTTTTCTAACGAATTATATTTTTCTTTTTCATTGCAACTTGCGAACTAGCGCAACACATACATGACATATGTCAAATTAATATTTCGACCATGGTGATTACAATATCAACAACTTAAACAATCAAAAGCTACAACAAATTCTGCAAAAGTGTGTACAAATTTACAGATAGCAGTTCTGGTTGGCTTGTCAATATCTCTTCATGTTCAAGTGCCATATGGATCATGTGGCATAAATCATCTTTTGCTTAGTCGATATTGAATTTGGTGACAGTGTGCAGTCAGTGGAGACAGGCTTAGTTAAGAAAGTGTCAAAGTAATGGACTGATGAATATCAAACGAAAGAAAAATCTAAAATAACTGGAACATTTTTACCGTTACCAGTGATTTTAATAATGAATCGTCACAATTCTTTCTTGAGTTGATACTTGTTTAACTTCGACTTCTACTTACTGAAGACACCTCACAAGAGATTTCGAAACACTGTTTATGCTTAGGACAGACATTAATACTTGCTGAAGTCAACTCGCAAGAGATTTTGAGACCCTGTTGACCGTCATCAATAAATGATGGGGTCACCTCGCAAGAGGTTTCGTCACAATGTTTACGCTTATGACCACCATCATATTTGATGAAGTCAACTCACAAGTGGTTTCGAGACACTGCTGACGCTTATGACCATCATCAGTATTTGCTGAGGTCACCTCGCAAGAGGTTTCTAAACCATGTTACCGCTTATGACTGTCATCAATACTTACTGAAGTTACTTCACAAGATGTCTCATGATCAAGCTGAATACCTGTTGGTCAGTTCGTAAAAGGTTTCGAGATGCTGCTGACGCGTATGATCGTCATCAGTACGAGTTAAGAATGTCAATTTCAGATTAAAAAATTTCTGAAGTCGTTATTCGAAGCTTCGTCGGAATAACGAAAAATGTTTTCCAAAAAGAAATCAAACTAATAACAAATAGGGAAAAATTCGTTATAAACAATGTAACAGATACTGAACTGATGCCGTATATATCCTCTTATATAAAAGTAAATGCAGGAAAAGTTCCTTACAGACAGAATAATTTCTTGATCTGTGTTCAACTGACGGATTTTGAGAATTCCATGGATTGTACATGTGAACAATGAGGAAGTTCTAAAGAGAATGAAAACTAGAAAGACACTCATACTCAAAATCAGAAAGAAACCGTTGAAATCCCATGCTATGAATTATGAGGAAAAAAGGTTCGGAATATTGAATACTCACAGGGCATACTGAGAGAAGGTGACGTAGACGGGAACAGGAAGTAACTTAGCTAATGAGTTTTTATGAATTGATATCAGGGAGGTATGGTAAAGACTGAAACGTTGCATACAGCTGCAACGGAAAGGAAGTTGTGGTGAGCCATGATCGCCTACGTTCGAAAGGGTGACGGTACATAAATAATGGTCATTAGTCCTTTACTTTCTCCTTTTCTTTCAACCTCACTCTATTGGGTCTCTTGCAATAGCCGCTTGTCATTATCGTTCAAATATTTGCACACATCTGTTCTCATTCATTTCTCGCTTATTTGCATCTGTCACGTGAATAAATACATATATTTTAAAATATAATTACATTTTTCTTTTAATACGATAACATTTAAATTTCTTACTTTTCCTCATCCTTTCATTGTTTGTTTCTGTAGATCTTTTTCTTATTTGGTTTCAGTTGTATTATACACCATCTTAATTTCTTTTAATCTTTTTATTCGTTATTTACTCATTTGTTTCTTTCATATTTTCTCTCTTCGATTTTATTAATTGTTCTTTTTTCTTTAGCCTTCTATCCGTCTATTTTACTTCAGCTTTTCAAAACATTTGAAAGTCTCATTCAGTCGATAATTTTGGATTTATTGATTTAAGTACTCTTAAAACTTATATCGATCTTTACGGTCGAAAATATCAGATCAAATTAAGAAAAAAAAATGATAGAACATAGTTTTCTGCGCGTTGGGATGAAACGTTTTGTTGACCCAACGAAACGAAAATGAATCGCCGTGAATATAATCTTTCAAAGTTTTCTTTTTCTGGCTAAAAACTTTTGTTTTCTTAATTCTTTTTAAACAGCAATAATAACCAATCTTTTCTTGTCTTGCTATAATCACGCTTCGTTCATGAATATAAGCCAAGTAATAAAACTAAATAAATGCTTCCAATTGAGTTTTCACTCTCTCCCAATTCATAACGAATTCAAAGACAAATGGCGATTTTTAAATTCATCATCCCCGAAATAGATTCAGTAAAATGTGAAGTTGAGATTTTGCTTTTATTATTTTAACGAACTTGATTTAATTGAAAATAGAATATTAGCCGTGTTGGCTTATCGAAAGTAGAATATTTGACGTGTTTAATATACCTTTTGAAAGTAGAATATTGCCGTGTTGGATATGCTCATCGAAAGTAGAATATTAGACGTGTTTGATATACCTTTTGAAAGTAGAATATTGGATGTGTTGGAAATGCGTTGAATGTAAAATGTTGGCCGTATTGGATATGTGTATTGAAAATAAAAATTTTGACCTTGTTGGATATGCGTGTTGAAAATAGATATGCGTGTAGTAATGGATAAGACGAAAGAGTGAAATTCGCCCCGAAATCAATGAGACGAATGATTAGGTGGTTTTTATTGGGAGCAATGAAATAGTCGTGATTGATATTGGGATTTGTAATGCGTTGGTTTTCAGTTGCCTTCTCTACGTTGATTTTATCGAGACACCAACTGTCGTTAGATATAGAGTTGTTCTGGTCTCTGATAAGCTTTTCATTTTACTATTTTTAATGTAATAAAATGAAAAATAAATCCCCGTCTCTTAAAATCAGTTATTCTAAACATCATTAAATTCGACTATCCATTGACATAATGTTTATAATGATAAGGGATAACATCGGATTAAAAACGAAAATCTCTTAATTCTTCAAAATTCAAGTATATATATATATATATATATATATATATATATATATATATATAGAGAGAGAGAGAGAGAGAGAGAGAGACTGCATTGGATACATTTTCGTCTAAATTACGCAAAAGGGAAAATAATACTGGCATCTCATTTTATCAGATACATTTACCAAAAATATCTTCAAATAACTAAAGAGAATATTTATTCTATAAAGTCGCTTCAACCACGACCTTCAGACGACTTCGGAATCTCCTGCAACTCTTCTGCACGGTCTTCTTGTTTAAGCTGGTGAATGCTGCCAGAACCTTTGCTTTCAGTTCATCTTTGGTGTTACAAGGAGTTTCCTTGATTGCTTGCTAATCTGCATCCGATATATAATAATTAAGGGATTGCAGTTTTGAGAGTTAGGTGTACAGATGTAAAGGATGATGTGGTCGGAGAAATTGCCTGACAGTCATGACTAGGTTCTCCTGTTTGTGTGACATGGTGCAGAGTCCTGTTGCCAGACATTGGGTCTTCCAGCAGCCACCCTCTTGACCCAAGGCAGAACTCCCTCGTCAAGACAGTTGACGTAGGCCTTCGTGTTGAGTGAGGCTTTGTGGGAAGTTGAATGGAGGCATAATGTCGCCATCATTAGTGATCACTCTAAACACCATCGAATTACTGTTAGACTTATCCAACCTTTTTCCAATCCTTTGCAATCTCCTCAGATTGAAACCCAATGAAATATTCGTATTAGAACTCCCATTGCGAATGCCAAGCAGTGCAGCAAGCCTATTGTAAATTTATGGCGGAGGGAATTGCATCCTAGTGCTCTTTTTCTTGCAGACGATGCACAATTGACCCGACTATACTGTGCAGAAGACAAAATAATAAAGAAACAACGCACATGCGCGAAATTAAAAATATACAATGGCGACAATTGATCTATCACCCTCTCTCCCTCCCTCTATCTATCTATCTATAAATATATATATATATATATATATATATATATATATATATATATATATATATAACAAGAATCGGATGTATTAGAAATCAATTTACAACCAAGTTCTGCAGGCAAAAGACATAGAAGAAGAATGATTTGCTCAATCGTGTGTCGTCTTCTCTCTCTCTCGTATGTTCATTTATCTGTCAGTATTTTTTGTCAGTCATCTCTATGCATATCTATCTATCTATCTATCTATCTATCTATCTATCTATCTATCTGTTCTATCGCATCTATCTATCTATCTATCTATCTATCTATCTATCTATCTATCTATCTATCTATCTCATTTTGTTCATATCTATCTATCTATCTATCTATCTATCTATTCGTGCTTCTTTACGTTTATACTCTTGGTCGCCCTAATGATAGTATTAAGTAAACAGTTAATATGTCGAATTTTTTTTAATCTTTTGATTTAAATCTCACTTTTTCCAGAAGAAAAAAAAAGGAAGATGAAAAAGTGTTTATGAAACGTGTTGAATTTAATGAGATTTTTTTTTTTAAATCAGGAATTTGTCCAAATGTGTCACTGGATAATTAGCTGAATAAATTGAATCTGTCCAAATTTATGCACTGTCTGCGAATTTTGAGTTTATCCGGCGGCTGCAGTAGCGAATGACTCGGAAGACAAAATATTCCAGGTTTGTTTCATTTCAGATCACTACAAATGATTTTCACTTTTGGGGTAATATTTTGAAGAAGAAATGAATCCAATCCTTCCTTTAATAATACCGCCTAATTTTCGTCAAGAGATTTGCACAAGTTTTAGTCACTCAGAAAGGAGGACGGACGTCATAGACAGTTTTACCATTTGAGTTTATTCAGAATGACATATTTTTACATCTTTGGCACATTTTTGCAGAATTTTGCTTTTTAAAATTCTAACCGAACCTGAATCTTGCAAATTATGGAAACTTTCTTTCTAACCGATTCTAAATTTGACAAACGACTGAAAAAAAATTTCAGCCGAAATATTTGAGGGAAAATAAAAAATAATTCAAAATTCTAACTTTTACATGAAATAATCCACAAAATGTGTATTTTTCTTCGACAGGATGTGGGAGATCATGGCTCTTCACAATTTATTATCCTTCTGTTATATATATATATATATATATATATATATTTATTTATTTATTGTGGATACCTCTTGACGAGTACATGGTGTGATTCCCAGAGGATTCGTTTACGAATCTATAGAGTTGGAATGCTGAAGCTAACATCAATCAGCGAAGTGACAAACATTTTGCTTGTATTAATTGTGGATGACAATATATATATATATATATACGTATATATAATCTTTGAAGAATTTATGGGTATGTGACGTCCCTAAACACAGCCTTTGCTCGCTCCTCGCTGCTTCGTTCGGGTGTCGCCGCTCCAAACGTGACGTCCGCCTGTCGCGTCAGTCGTGTTGTCTCGTCCTGTGACGACCAACTGGCTTGGTATCGGTCGCGGCACCCAAATGTGACGTTCTAACCTTTTGGTGATTCAGACGGGAATCTGGTTAGATTCGATATCAGCCTCGTCGTTCCCAACTCGCTTCCAACGCCTGGTTACCAAAGTAACTGCATTGATCTCCATTCTGCCTACCCACGTTGTGAATTGATCTTAGGCAGACGAGATCAATCAGTAGTTGGGACCGTAATGCAAATCGGGTTCAAACGGGGGTGACACCGCACAAATATACATAAAAGAAAATAAAATGATAACTCAAAAATTCAAGGTATCAAAAAAAGGATAACAAACTTTATGTCTAGTTGTTGGATACATAGGACAGCGTCTATCTCCCGTTCCGTTCTATGGATTGTGACACGTTGTTTTCCGTTAGGCGAGTTTTAACACTTCAAGTTGTTTGCTCTTTAAGAAATTGGTTTTTCGGTGTGTCTTCGGGCGAAAGTCGAAAAAACTTATTTTGGTGGTCTGGATCTAAGTCGCTCTTCAAAATAATTGTTCTTGGATTGAAGAGGAGTCCGGAATTTGCGCGAATCTTGGTCAGCCGATGCGAGGCTTCACTGGAGACTGACTCTGGGAACTGTCTCTCCCGAACTCAACTCTGGAACTCGAACTGGAACTAAACTAATTTCTGCTCGCTGCGGCCTTGCTTATATGGACGCCGACCAAAACCGGGGTGGGTTTGTCGGCGCCGGGGTTTCCTCGATAATTCTAAATACCTATCCACTTCTCTTATTTTTGGTTAGGAATTTTCCACTTCTTTCCATTTTTGGGAGCCCTCTCTTACTCCCACCTTCTCACCATACTTCAGAGGGGCGTGAACTGCCCTCCCCACTTCTTCGAAGCAGCCTCTCATACCCATCCTCTAGATGGGCGGCGACAGCTTCCTCCTTGCGTCACGTGATCACCACTCGGCCAATGATGTCTAGCCGAGGCTGTGCGATTCCGCAGGCTTTGTTTCAGGAAAAAAAAATATCTTGCTTAACAAAAAAAAAAATTATCTTTTTCTTTTCCTTTTCTTTCTTTTAATCGCAGCTCTCATTTTCTCTGGCAGCAAATAGAACAATGCGATCGGTGGTGGTCGTAACTCTTGTTCTCACCTGGACTTCGTCAGTCATCTTATCGCTAATTATCAGAATGGGTGGTCTATTTGACACAACACAATCGTCCGTCGCCTAAAAAATAAACAAAACATTTCTATGGTTCCATTCATTCTTTGGTGCACATTTCTGATAACATAGTTTTATTATCGCAGGCTAAAGATGTTCTGTCGAAAGAAAACGGTCAGTCGCCACCTCGTGTGCGGCTTTGACACAATTAATTTTTCATATCTATCCAAAGCCCTGTAGTTCACCTGTTTTATGTCAATTATCAAAATAACATTTTCAATTGGATTTTTCTTTGGCTAGTCGGTCTGTGGTTTGCTTAATCAGATGTTTTCCCGCATTAGCGGTTTGTTTATGTATTCCCGATAACACCAGCCCGTCGCCAGAACACACCCGATTCCTTTATCCACTCAGAATTTCCCTGCCATTGTAATGACACTCTTCGCCATTTGTTACTTATCAAAATATCCTTTATCCATAGCCGTGGGTGTCCTACTTATCATCCACGCTTTGGGTCTCGCCTCTCTTTTCCTTTATTTCCTTCCTCTCTTTCTTTTCTTTTCTTTTTTTTTTCCTCGGTAAATGGTGCCACAGAATTTATTTTTAATCCAATATTATATCATGTTCTAAACGTTATTTTAATAGATATTTATAGAAGATGTGGGAAATCATGACTCTCCACAACTTCCTATTTTTTGTAACTTTAAGCGACCTTTGTCTTTTTGTCATCTCTTCCACTCCCCGTCCCACCATTCATTCAAATAATCTTGTCATGTCATGGCGCCTCTTCTTGTCCCATTTTCCCATCGATATCTACTGTGTCTGTCGAATTATCAAAAACTTCCTTTCTCATTATGTGTCCTGGTATGGAATCCTGGTATTGTCTCCAGCGCCACTAGCCAAGCTGTCTTGGTTGAATACATTCGGTGAGAAGACACATCTTTGTCTTAGGCATCACCAAGATTTTCTAAAAAAATGAAAGATTTCTGAAATATCTGTCTTTATTTCTGAGATGAGGTATTATGTACACTATTTACATTATTCGGGCTATTGTCCCCATCTTTGTCGCCATATTTTTTACAACGTTTCGGCCCTTTAGTATCTGTCTATATTTCTGAGATGAGGTATTATGTACACTATTTACATTATTCGGGCTATTGTCCCCATCTTTGTCGCCATATTTATTACAACGTTTCGGCCCTTTAGTATCTGTCTATATTTCTGAGATGAGGTATTATGTACACTATTTACATTATTCGGACTATTGTCCTCATCTTTGTTCCCATATTTATTACAACGTTTCGGCCCTTTAGTATCTGTCTATATTTCTGAGATGAGGTATTATGTACACTATTTACATTATTCGGACTATTGTCCTCATCTTAGTCGCCATATTTATTACAATGTTTCGGCCCTTTAGTATCTGTCTATATTTCTGAGATGAGGTATTATGTACACTATTTACATTATTCGGACTATTGTCCTCATCTTTGTCGCCATATTTATTAACAACGTTTCGGCCCTTTAGTATCTGTCTATATTTCTGAGATGAGGTATTATGTACACTATTTACATTATTCGGACTATTGTCCTCATCTTTGTTGTCATATTTATTACAATGTTTCGGCCTTTCAGTATCTGTCTATATTTCTAAGATCAGGTATTATGTTCACTATTTACATTATTCGGACTATTGTCCTCATCTTAGTCGCCATATTTATTACATCGTTTCGGCCGTTGTACGCTCCGGCCTTCTTCAGCTCGTTGGAATGTCGAACTGAAACCTTTATTTCGCTCACTGGGGTAGACTGTTCTAGTTCCACGTTTCATGTCTAATGGATGTCAGTTGTCAGTTATCTCCTGTTAATTCTTCTCTCTAAGTTCTCCACCGCCTTAACTAGGTATTGAACTCACACTATTTGGGTCCTGTCACTGGATCTAACTAACGCCTTTATCCACTGTGCCATGTGTCCTTTCATTTACTTGTGAATAAGTCCTGAAAGTGTCATTAAAATCAGATAATTATTTCATTGAAGCAAGAATTTCCAAATAAATTTGTTTTTCATCGAAAAAAAAGACTCTAAATTTACTTATACTAATGTTTGGTTCCCTCGTTGACGCAAAATAAAGAAGATTTTTAACCAAAATTTCGAACGTTCTGAAACGGATCAAAAATATAATTCAGTACTCAAAAAATTCTTTGGTCTTTTCTCTTAATAATAACACAAATATTTGACGATAAAGCTTTGTTTCTATTAAGTTTGGTCCATTTTTCATCATGCTATGCTAATTTTTTTGGCGAATCTGTAGAAGTGACAAAAAATAAATAAAAAGAAACAAGAAAAATAAACTGTACTTAGTCGACGCGTTTCGTCTTCTGATGAACTTTATCAAGGATGTATTATTCTGCAGGCGTTTATATACAGAAGCGAAGAAATAGGAAAAAATCACTTAGTTGAACCCGTTCCCCTTCTGCAAACTGTCAAGTATCAACATCGGACAGTACTTTCTAAACTTAATTACTAAACACTTCAACAAAAAAACCCTCTAAATAAGATATTCAACAGGAAATCAATCAAAATTAGCTACTCCTGCACTGATAATATGTACCAAATTATTAATTCCTACAACAATTACATTTTAAGTAAATTCCACGGCAAAAAACTAAATCTAACATGGACCCCCCCGTAATTGTAGAATTAAGGAAAACTGCCCAGTAGAGGGCAAATGCAGATCCACTAGGGTAGCATACAAGGCAGCAATTATTCCTAAAGAA